CTTTGAGACGATGTAATGTTGTGATAATGCGCTATACTAAAATACGTTTGTTTGTTTGTTCGGCTTCTAAGCATATCTGCGACTTCTATGAATTTTTCCTGCAGAACAGCCCTCCTACCCTTGCCTATGTCATCAGTACCTACATGTACAACGACCACTGGATCCACCCTGGCTTCACTGTTGCCAGTGGCCGATCCGAGTGTGGCAAAGAGTCCATATTGATTAAAAACCATCCTGCTTCAAATGGTGCTGCAGAAAGGTCACGCCAAATAAGTCCTCATTGATGAAAAGGCACAGTCAGTATCTGTTTCAGTGCAGCATAGGCTGTCCAGCTTCCTATTGACGTACAGGAGCATGCCACACTCAGTTACGGGGTGTAGACCTGCTGAGCGGTTCCTTAAACAGCAGCTGAGAACAAAGCTCAGTCTGCATAAACCTGACATCAGAACTCAGGTCGGGAGAAAACAAGAGAAACAGAAACTATCACAATAAGATGGCTTTAAAGCTCAGGCATCTGACACCTGGTGATGTAGTGAGTGTGAAAAATATTCTGGAGGAAAGGGAAAAATGGATGAAAGCAACCATTGTGGAGCAGATCGGACCGGTCACTGGGAAGAGAGCTGATCAGCTCCTGTGAGGAAACGCAGATTCAGAACCCAAGGGATAATTTGGAAGTGATGCCAGAACTTACAACATCAAGTCCAATAAAGAATCAGTAGGACACGGTGTCTGATAAAACACCTACATTGCTCGAAAAGGAGCCAAACACATCTGATCCAGCAAGACCCTTGTCTGTCAAATAAGAGTGAAGGAACTCCAATGGAGTGTAGGAGGCCAGCCCTGACTGAGGCGATGTGATATCCGTGCGCAGGGCGAGCGAGCGGGGAATCAGGGTTAGGCAGACAGAAATCCAAAAACGGGGTTTATTGCAGGCAAAGCACATAAACACGGAGAAAACTTCACAACACTTCAATGACCGGACTTGGGTAGGCAGACTAAGGCAGACTAAATACACAGGACTGAATGAAACAACAAGAAACAGCTAATTACAATCGGGGTTTCACACGAGGAAACGAGGGGGGCGTGGCACACAGGAGGATCGGACGAGCAGGTCATGACAGGCGATACCGCCAGCCCCAGTGCGGCACTACCTGGAACGGGTTCGCTTACCACCAAAACGGCTGGACCTTTGATTGGAAAAAAATAATTAATTAAAAGACTTAAGGCAGAAAGCAGATAAGAATTATTCATGGAACTGTTTCCTAAGGAAAAAAAACAAGTTTTACATATGTTGTTAGGTTAAAATTGATAGTCATTGTTGTGAGTAGGTCTGTGCGTCTACTGGGAAAAAATGTGGGATTGTTGAGTTATGGAAAATAGATATATACATGTTATACTATTTCCTCCCACAGACTGAAAGTGTGTGCGGTAGATTAATTGGTAAATCTAAATTGGCCCCGTGAGTGTGTGCGGTGTGTTGGTTTCCGCCTGCGCCCCTTGTTCCCGGGATAGGCTCCGGTCCCCCCCCGCGACCCTAGTTGGGATGGTTGGAATGTAATATATTTGGTTGGTTACGGTGATGGATGGATAGATTGTAATTTATTTAGTAGCACCTTTAAAGATGGTGAGCTAGCAGCGCCACCTAGGGTAGGTAATTGTTATATTTCAAATAAGGAAATGTGGTAGGTGCGGTGTTCCAGAGGCTGTTTTGATAAACGGACTTCTCGAGACCGTGGCTGCCTCATCCACTGAGTGATTCTTACCTCCAAGATATTACATCACCAGAGGGTGCTGCCTCTGCACTACAGATCTGGAGGTTTTGCTGCCAGTCCAGACTGAGTGGTCTTACAGTCAGCAAATCCAGGATCCAGTCACGGGGAGAGGTGCTGAGCCCACAGGTTCAGCTTTCTGATGGATTGCTGGGGGATGATGGCCTTGAATGCTGAGCTTACGTCGATGAACTGCGTTTTAGCAATGGTGACTTTTTCTCCAGATGGGTCAGGGCCAGGTGCAGAGTCTAGGAAATCGCATCCTCTGTCAGAGGTGGACATTTCACATCCAGAATGTAAAAAGAAGAAGCGTGTTTAAAAAGCGTGTTGATATCGCCTTTGGAAGTTTGACGTCAGGCGATATCAACACGCTTTTTCTGTCTTGCCTTTTAGTACCTATTGCGGATCCGATCTGTTAAAACTTGGGATATTCAGAGGGTTATTTCGAGTGTTATTTTACATTAGATGACACCGCTTAGAAACAGGCGTTGCGTAACGTGTGTCGTAAATTATATATAGTTTACAATGTGTTGTTATACAGTGACACAGATCGGCATATATTGCCATAAATCTGATAATTTAGAATGTATGTTCCAAAAACATAACTTAGCAGGTGCGTCCCAAAAGCGTTTCTGACATATCCTTCCAAGTCAAGCTGTATTTTCGTCCAACTTATAAAGTACCTTTCATTGTGCCCCGTGTACAGCACACAGTGTTGTCTTAAATTATTAGAATTTCTGTCAGATTCAAATGTAACGGTATTTAATAAAGTAAAAACATAACGGCACCAAATAATCCTATTGAACATTAATATCGCTGACCGGTTGTCACGTCCCCGTGTTTTCCCTTGGATGTGGCTTCTCATCAGTCACACCTATTACCCGTCAGCATTACCTCTTGTTCCTGCCCTCCTCTTGATCATTCACATCGGCCTTGTGTTTTCTGCTCATTAGTCCAGTTTACATATAAGCATCTCTCAGGTCAGTGTTCCTTGTCTGTTCATTGTTGCGTGTTCCAGTAAAACTTACCCGCAAGGGGGTTTTCTTGTGCAGCCTGCAACTTGGGTCGCTCCTTACATTTGTGGACGTGACACCGCTCTCCCGCAACTAAAGAGCAGCAGGACTGCACACGTTAATTTTACTTGTTTCATGGGTCAGCTGTGAATCTCTTCTCATCCACGGACCCAGTGGAGACGGCATACTCCAACAGTTACATCACCTTTAAGAGGTACTAACAGAACACGGCTGGTGAAAAGTAGCCGTCCTTCTCTTCCAGCTGTTCCAATTCCTGCATGTGATGCATCAAAGCCGATCATTTCATTTAGCTCACATGTACCTGCAGTGAATCTGACCCTCTTGAATTCCTACAGAAACACAAAGGCCAATTAGCAAAGATGTCCTTTGTGCAAATTCATGCGTTCTCATCTCAACTGAATAAATGATGTTACCTTTGCTGGAAGACTGTCTTCCATGTACAGAAGCTCAAGAGACAAAATAAGACAAAAATCACTGCAAGACGACCTCTGTTGTAGCCACGGGAAATACCTGAAAAAAAGTTTTTCCTGCTATTTCAAATCCCCTACAGGGATCCTATTGTGTCCTAAAATCAGCGCAGTAGTTTGGAAAGCATCATTTTATTATTATTATTACTAGTAGTATAGTTTAAATGTACCTTGCAATGATCCTTACCTAAATACATAAAGATGGTCCCAGTTATTTGACTGCTTTGATGCCTCGCATATGTACAGGCTGTTCAGTTCAGAGCCCATCTTTAAAAATATCAGTCTGCCTCCCTCCGGTCTGAGTAAAGGACTGAGTACTTACCCGTTCACTCTAAGACAGGACTAACAGGATCAGTACTATACTACCCAGAAACACACAGGCCAAAAACAAACAGATACTGACTACTAAACCCCAACAATGTTCTACATGGGTGTAGGACTGTGACCAATTACTGACGGACGATTAACGAGTCACGTGAAATTGATAAGTAATATTTATTGTCTTTGATAAGTATCAGAATCAGCTTTATTTGCCAAGTGTGCTGGGGCACACAAGGAATTTGGTTCCGGCTGCTAGAGACTCCCTAGTACACAGACAATAAATGACACTATACAAGACTATACACTATAAAATTTGAAATATACATACGTGAGTAACACTGTACAAAGTATAAGGTGCGAGGTTGAATGCAAACAGAGTTTAAGGAGGGGAAATTTACAGGTGACACAGCTTAGTTGTTTATGAGGGTGATGGCCTGAGGGAAGAAGCTGTGAGTTGTTTAGCGCCTGCCAGAGGGGAGGAGCTGGAAAAGATTGTGTCCAGGGTGTGACGGATCTGCAATGATTTTATCTGCCCGTTTCCTAGTCCTGGATGGAGGGCAGGGGGACACCGATGATTTTTTCTGCTGCCCTCACTGTTCGCTGCAGTCTCCCTTGGTCCTGTTTAGTGGTTGCTCCAAACCACACTGTGATTGATAGTAGCAGCCCATTATCTGAAAGCTCCAGTCTTGGTTTTGCTTAACAGACACGCCCATATGCACCAGTAGGAGGGAGTGTTGATGCACACTGGCTATAAAATGCCTTCTGAAGTGTGACAGTATTTTGACAAGTTTGGGGACCAGAAAAAAAGCTACATGTGAACAGTTTCAGAAGAGTTTTCCCTTCTCAAGCAACACAGCAAACTTGATCATTTGAGAAGATGCACCTTTCGCACATGCAAAGCAGAACCTTCAGAATAACAACTGGAATTGTATTTTGGGAAATGTCAACCTAAAAAGTTACACAAAAATCCTAGCTTATGTGTGGTGAATTCAGAACTCAGTTTAAGTCCAGATGGACTTTTTACAATCCCTTTCCCTTGCACTTTAAAGTTTCCACGATTTTTAGAAAGAAAGGGATGACAGTAAGTGACTGGAAAAGAGAGGAAATCACCTTCAGAGAAAACAGATATTGCCATGAGACCTTGAGGCCAGACAGCAGCTTTGCTGTCACAGTGCTGATGGTAATAGATGATCTTAATAAACTTACGCATCTCTCCTGAGTCAGCCCTAGACAATCCCTCAACAGACTGAAGTTGTACCATTTGCTTACCCTTTTCCTCTAAGGTCTCTTCATTCTCCTCCTCTGCCTTGGATATGGCTCTTCAAATGAAACAAAACATCTGCTGGATGTCCCGTATGTAACAGAAAGTCAGTTTGGCATTTCAGTGTTGTATCGCAAAGTTACTCCTCAGTAAAAGGCAAGCGATTGCTCGCTCGAGTTTGGCAAAAAGTACTTTAAGGATTTTTTGGTTTAAGCAGCAAACATAACAGGCACTGCTCACTAACTGTCCAATACCAGCATACAGTGGTGACAAGGCAAAGCAGCACACAGCCAAGACAATGCAGTCCCAGCTACAGGTAAGTTCTTTCCATAAATGTTTGTACTTGTGATTCCTGCTGTCATACTTCCTTTTGTTCCATTACCAACTGTTCCATTTCTTGCATGCCCACTTCCTTTTCTTCCACTTCCTGCGTGTCCACGCCCCGCTGTTTCACTAAAAGCATGTTCACATCCTGCGTGTCCACATCCTGCAAGCCAGTTGCCTGCAGTTCCACCTCCTGAATGCCCAGTTCTTGCTCTTTCACATCCTGCATGCCCACTTCCTGCAGCTCCACATCCTGCATGCCCACTTCCTGCAGCTCCACATCCTGCATGCCCACTTCCTGCAGCTCCACATCCTGCATGCCCACTTCCTGCAGCTCCACATCCTGCATGCCCACTTC